ACTCCTCTGTTTATGTTGTATGGCTAGTCCCTGGTGTTGCGATGCTTAGGGTGCGTGTTCACTGTTCCGTGGATTTGTGGTCAAAAGTGTTGCTTCTTTAGTGCTTTAATGACACTACCTCGGATGCTGTCATTTTATTTCACTGCAGAAAGGAATAAACCAAAAGGGTAAGCGTGACTGGTTAATATTAGGTGGGCAAGATGATAAGATTAGCTAATCATGGAGTTGAATTGAGTCCCCAGTATTTGATCTTGCCACAAGCTTCTCGACGGTGTGGACGTCTCAAGAGAACACTGAACGTATTGTTCTGCAGCTATTTCGTAAGGAATATGAAAGAGGTTAAATTTGTGAAGGAACAGAATTGAATGTAGTGATTTGTAGGCCTGTATATTTGCAGTTCATTTGTGATCTTGCTGAAGACAAACGAGCTTTCCTAACTTGCATCTTTCTGAATGGACTTTGGTATAGACAAAAGATTGGGAGGATGTTGTTTGCTTGCCTTGCCTTCACTACCTATACTCTCATAAGCATCTTAGGCTCTGTTCCTTGTGCCATTGGTTGCTTATTTTGCCACCAAAGGGTCTGTCTCTGGAGTGACCAAGTTCTACCAATAGAAGTATGATATTTTAAGAAAGATTATGGTGCTTGTATGTTGCAGATGACAAAGTGGCTGTATTGGAGTCGGAGAAGTGGGCTTGGGAGAATTCGTTTGCTCAGGCTGTAAGAGAAGCTCTCAATCCTTAGAGAAATCCTGATGCAGAAGCAAAAACGAATTCATAGTACCGCATTGTTGAGTTATTCCTGGTACGATTTTTTTCTCAAATTGCTCTCGTTGCCCAACAATTGAACTTTCTGTAAAACCGTGCTCTTGATGAAGAAGTCTGATAAAAGATTATGGTGCTGCTATGATAAAATTCCTTGAGATATGAAGTCATGAATCCAGAGAAAAAAGAAGAAATAGAATGAACATTCCTGTGCAAAACAACTAAGATAGGAAAATGATGATAGCAACTGGTTCAGGTTTCTTATACAAAGAGTGAACGGGATAACCTCTTTCGTAGAGGGAAAAAGATGGTACCGAGTGTAGAGGGAACAGATGGTACAGAGTGCTTAATTTTCCTTTTATCTCTACATAAACTCGTGAAATTTTAAAAATCACAAGTTAAGTGACTTATGTCCACTTGGCTCTACTATAAATCTAGGAACAAAAAGAGAATAAATACGCTGCTATTTAACATTGGAAGAATCTGTTACAGGATGTTGCTTGTGGGCAGCAAAAGAAACAAATCTCACAGTTACCATATTTCGTCCTGGAACCGATGGTGACCCCTAGATACGGCAGCATGAAGTGAACTTTTCTGCAAAAAGCATAATCAACCACTTTGGCATCCAATTTAATTAGCTGGTACTTACCAAAATGACCCAATAACTCAGCACCGTCAATTCTTGTTGAAACAAGGAAGAAAATCTAGATGTTCCTCTATGATGTAAATGTGAATATATGCGGTTTTTCTTGTAAACCTGCATTGCACAGAATACAATGTCTTTTTCCAGTTGACTGGTTTAATGGCACTGTCTCTCTCTATTTCTTTCTTTTTCACTTCCTAGAACGGTGGAATTCAATCATTTTATACATGTTAATAAAACCATGGCTCCGATGAATCTTTATGGCGACTCCTCTGTTTATGCTGTACGTATGGTGTACAGACTACATAAGTATACTGTTGTACACTTTTATGTAATATCTCAATGGTATGTGCAATGTGCAAGGTGAAAGTCCAAATTTTTTGGGTAAATTACTGTAAAGTACTCTCGGTGTTGGCTGAATCCCTTGTATTCACTTGGACTGCCCCTGTCCGAGATTGCTGAACCGAAAAATAAGTAAAAAAAACATGACTTGTCTAGTCTACATTTTCAATTTGCATATTGTAATTCGATGCAATTAGTTTCCATAAAGGAACGCATAGCTACTTGTGGTCTCACATAATAAGGTGGAAAGCTTTTCCAAACTAGATGAGTTGAAGCAGGAACATTGTCATCTGTATTTGCATTTGTTGTGGCCTTTGATATGCATAACTTACTTTTATGATGCTTTCTGATAAGTTTTGTGTTCACTTATGGTTCTGTTGGCTGACCCCAGTTTCTGTTCCCTTTTCGGATTCGAAATTAGAGAGGAAAGAAGAATTTGGTACGAGAGGTTCAACGACTGCAATGGGAAGAGGGCCTTGAGGCTATTGATCCTCAGGCTTATTTCGCCGCAAATGGTACCTCATGAAAGTCCATTAGATATGATCATGATTGAAATCCCGAAACACTTGATATTCAATATAGCCTTAGTAAATGGTTAAATGAATGAAAGTATATTCAATAACATTGCAGATGCTTCGCTGGATAGCGAAAGTTGAACCGTCGCTTCGTCCTTCCTAAGTTGCATTGGTGGATAATCCCGCTAATCCTGACATTAGTTCTGAATCTACAATGCAGCTTATTGACGGGGACAGGAAAGTAGATGCCAATCCCTGGAACTGCACCGATGTTGAAGTGCTTCTCTTTTGTGCTCAGTAGATGCTATGCAGGACTGATTAGACGCTATCGTGCTACGAATTGGCTAGTCCCTGGAGTTGCGATGCATAGGGTGCTTGTTCAACGTTCTGTGCATTTGTGGTCGGAAGTGTTGCTTCCTTAGTGCTTTAATGAAACTACCTCAGATGCAGGGTAAGTGTGACCGGTGAATATTAGGAGGGCAAGATTTTGCAAGATAAGATTAGCTGATCATGGAGTTGAAGTGAGTCCCCAGCATTTGATCTTGCCACGGGCTTCTGGATTTGACCGAGTTCAAGAATCTCCACTTCCAAGCACGAGGTGTTTCCAGATTGATCAGAGGCTCCATAACAGACAAGCTATCACCTTCAAGATAGACAGACACTGTGCTTGCTAGTTGCTAAGAAGTGGTCATCGGATTTTGCGAAACTCGAGCAGTTCTGGGATAGTCGAGCTCGACAGAGAATGTCGTTGACCAGCGGAAATTCTCCTAGAAGAGCTTATGCATGCCGGGTCAAGCTTTTTCCGTACGGGTTCTTCTCTTCGAAGGTTTGATTCCTAGTCATCCACAGCATGACATGCAGCAGACTCACCCAGGATGAAGTTCTTGTGCTCCCGTTAGACTCTGTAATAAGCATCAGCCCTCGTTCATGCAAGGAAAAAACAAAAGAAAAGATTGCATACAGATGCCACGAGCTGCACTATAACTGGCCGAAGGCCCAAGTTCTTGGACCCAACAGCTAAAAAAGCTTTCTTTTAAGGAAATGGTCGGGCTGTGTGGGCCCGGCACTCACAAACTTTCCTCTTCCTTTTCGCCTTTTCTTTCGTTTTCCATCTTTCAGCCGCTGCCGCGGACACGCTTGAGCAAGCTTCGATATGGGGGTGAAGTTTCTGGATTGGTACGTGAAGATCGCGGTCTTCTCAGCTCTCGTCGGCGGCTCCATGGAGTCGTTCATGAGCAAGACCGGCTTCTGTGTGAGGACCCTCCTTTTCTTTTTAGTTCCTTCTTTGCCTGTTCCTGCAATTCTTTGTTTTAACTTTTTCCGCTTCTTTGTTGGGTAGCTCGTAGCCAAAAAGATGGCGCGACAATGACTCCGAAATCGGCAGTTTTAGGCACTATCAAGCAGTTGAAATCAATTTTATCTAAAAAAAAACCTTGCTTTAAAGCTTTCGAGCGATGTTAGTGCGGCAGCTATTGTGTTTAGTCGAATGGGAGCAGAATTTACGGTGATGGGTCGTGTTCGAGTTTGTCTCTCTTCGGATGAAGAAGGCACCATTTAGCCGGTTGCTTTGTGGATGAAGTTAGGGGTAGGATGGAAATTCATGATTTCAGTGGTATGTCTCTGTTGCTAGCTTGTGAAAGAGGAGGAAGGCTTTGATTTGGATGGTCTATTAATGCAATGAACTGAACGTTCTCGCTGTTCTGCATGAGGAGCATCATGTGAAAAAATGTTGTCTCGGATGATGAATGGCAATGCCAATGAATGCGAAGCGTGTTCCGCTGTCTGTGGAGAAAGGATAGTTTATGCAACTAATATCTGTTCATAGATGACTTCTGTAGCAGAAACTTCTGAAAAATAGTTTGGGAGATAGTGGTTTTAAAACTGAATTTACGACAGTGATGCATGTCTCAAGAGAACATTGAGCTGATTGTTCTGCGGCTATTCCGTAAGGAACATGAAAGAGGTTTAAATTTGTGAAGGAACGCAATTGAATGCGGTGATTTGTAGGTCTGTGTATTTGCAATTCATTTGTGAGCTTGTTGAAGACAGATGAGCTATCCTCACTTACATCTTTCTGAATGGACTTTGGTATAGACAAAAGATTGGGAGGATGTTGTTTGCTTGCCTTGCCTTCAGAACTACCTATACTCTCATAAGCATCTTAGGTTCTTTCCTGTGCCATTGGTTGCTGATTTTGCTACCAAAGGGTCTGTCTTTCAAGGGATCGACCAAGTTCCATCAATTAAGGGATGATATTTTAAGAAAAATTTTGGTGCTTCAATGTTGCAGATGATAAAGTGACTGTATTGGAGTCGGAGAAGCGGGCTTGGGAGAATTCCCCAGAAGCTCAGGCTGTTAGAGAAGCTCTTAATCCTTGGACGAATCATGATGCAGAAGCAAAACAGAATTCATAGTGCTGCCATTATTGAGTTATTCCTGGTATGATCTTTTATTTTTCCGACCGCTCTCATTGCACATCACTAGACCTTTCTTTCAATGATGTTCTTGATGAAAAAGTCCGATAACATTCAGAACAAATAGGTCTAAGTGGTCGAGCAATTTTGGTTTACTCCTTTTAGTTAAGTGTGTAAACCATGTTCTTCATGCAACATTATGGCCGTGGGTCTTAATAGTTCTGGCTGTTAGACTTTGTGTATTATCAGTGGTCAGCCTTTCTGGCTCGCAAGCTTATTTCGACCCTTACATTTGCCCATTTTGTGGCTTTCTTGTTAATAGAGCCGAGGGACGATCGACAGGATGATCACAACATCAGTTTCATTCGATTATGTTTAATCTTTTTGCCTTTATACGTTGGCAAAGAGTATTTCAATTCGGACAACTATACATGCTGATACTGTAAGCTGCGTGAGCGAGATGAGGATGTGAACTTCTGAACAACAAGGATCTTATTCTTGATGCTTGAACTGTGTCTGCAGGAAGATGAATTCAAAATTACGCCGGACGCATCTGCACATCGGTCGCCTCTGTCCTGGAATGAATTCAGAACATCCCGAAATGTGCTGATGCGATTTCGTCTTCGGCTGCTTGGCAACTAATTTCCCCGTCCGGCGAGCGAGATTTTCCTGTACGCGGGTTCTGGCAATTTATATGTTTCTCTCGGCACTGCTCTTTATGTACTTCCCTCGTCATCATCCAGTGGACTTCACATTCTCTTTGGCATACTGCAGAAATCTCAGTAGCTATCATTTTTGCTTGTCCTCTTTGATCAGCAATGCGATCAGGTGATATCCTATGGCCAGTCGTCCTCGTACCGGACCCCGTGGATGAGCTGCAACATGGTTGTGTCGAGTGGTCGGACTCGTGTAGGCACGATTCCAACGACGCGAAGGACCTAACAAATCAATCACATCTTCAGAACTTGTGAGGCTTATACCTCGAAATCCCGTATAGCTTTTGCATCGTGATTCGTACGGTCCGCCACATCACCCGTTGATCGAACTTGTAACGTGTTCTCTTTTGGGTATCTCATATGAGCTCATGACTTCACTGCTGCTGGTCCAAATTAGCTAGAAACTCGCCCGATCAAATACTTATATATCTTCTTCTGACCCAAAAAAAGAAAATTTTACTTATATCTTCTCTGTTATGCAGGGCTTGCGGGGAGATCATACTGGATGGGGTTCGTAGTCGTCTCGGGTTTCATTTACTTCCTCAATGGATCTCGGCATCGATTCCGTGTAGGGTCTAAGGATCCGGCGGTCGAGATTTGTCGAGCTCGTAGATACATTCCATTCTTCTATGCGCCGAAATCCTATTGGGTTTAAAACATATAATTTAAATTTTGTGATTGGTCCGACTACCGTACTCGCGCTTTCATATTAGGTAATTTGGAGAATTTACTGTAATTTTTTTTCTTCTTCTTAATTTTTTTTTTAGGTATCCACACACTCGACAATCTACATAAGTTTAAGAGGACCAAAATTTAGAAAATCATCGATGCTGATGTGATCGATTAAGCGAGATGCAATGTATATAAATGAGATTTATTAGGATAAATCAATCGTTCGGACAAGACAACGTCGTCGTTTCTCACGACAAGAACAGAAAACGCAAACGGACAGAAAACGCCGTCGTTTTTGCGCGTGTTGCATTCGCAGCATGCCATAGAGTATTTCTTCTCTCGTACGCCGCCAAGGCTTGTCTCTCTCTCTCTCTTCTGCGCTGCTTCCTGCTGCTGCTTCCAGCAGCCGCCCCACCCTCCCCTCTCGTTCTCCCATTTCAAACTTGCACGCCCATCTCTCTCTTTCTCTCTCTGGGTGTGTTCGTGGGTCGTGGGTCGTGGTGGGTGTGGAGGGGAGAGAGAGAGAGAGAGAGAGGATGGGGGCGGGCCGAGAGGCGTCGATCTCGCTGGACGGCGTGCGGGACAAGAACGTGATGCAGCTCAAGAAGCTCAACACCGCCCTCTTCCCCGTCCGCTACAACGACAAGTACTACGCCGACGCCATCATCTCCGGCGACTTCACCAAGCTCGGTCTCTCCCTCTTACCTTTCTCTGGGTCTCCGTTCTTTCGTGCTCCCGAATCGCCTCGTTGCTCGCGGTGACGTGCCCCGTGGCAGGGCCGCCACCGGCGGCTGCGGTTTCCGTGCCGTCTCGCGGGGCTCTCTCGTCGGGTCATGTTGGGGGGGTTCCTTTTTTTCGCTTTCTGAATCGATCGTCGCGTTCTGGGTTCCGGTTCTTTTTGCTCGGCTGCGCTTCGTGTGTCGGCCTGGTCCTTGCTCGCCTTTGCGCTTCGTGGGTGCGCGGGGGTTCTGCTGGTCGTTTGAGATTTTGGGTCTGGATTTTTTAAGGGTGGGGGGGTTTTGGTTTCCTTGAAGAGTGGGGAAGTGTTGAGGTGTGAGTACCCATGACGGATTCGGGCTTGCGAAGCGACTTTGGAATGTTTCTTGTCCGTCCTGTTGAGAAATGTTGTTCGTGATCGAGTTGTGTTCGAATGTTGGGGGCTGGAGTTTGATTAGAATTGCGAATCGCGAATCCCGTTCCTCGTCTTATGTCGGGGTCGATTTTGTTGGGACGAAAAGGACGTGCAAGTGCGCGTAACCCCACATAAGGCTCTGCTTTAGTTTACTCTTTTCTAGGCTACTATTGTCCATTCCACTGTCCTTGTCAATGCCATAGTCACATTTCGTGTTATGTTCTGTTATGCTGCCTCATGTTCCAGAATGTAGCCAATTGGATTGTGAAGTGTTTTTGGATTGTGATGGTTTAGCTTCCGTCTCTTGATCATTCTTGTTGTTCCCCCTTTTGCTTTTCCTCGCTTTTACATTTTCAACACTTGCTTTTGTAGCCTCAATCATGTTTGGGGTATCTGAACTTAGAAAATCCTTCGACACGCATAATTGTTGGCTGTTGAGTTTCTGTTGTGTGTTGTTTCACTATTAACTTGTTCAACTTTTCTCTTGCTCTTGTTTACAAATGTCCATTTGAAGCAATGAACTTAGCTGGGATTATTGCGTTATATTGCATCGGCTGTTCTTTGTCTGAGTTTGCATTTTATTATGTCTAGTGAAGCCATTTTATCTTATTAGATAAGGCTCATGCTTTGCCTTTTACTCATGGTATATATCCTTTTGATTCTTTTTGTTTCTGCTTTCAAGCTCTAAGATACTCTTTGTATTAAGAGAGGCATTAGTTTTGTGATTCAGTGCGAGATTTATTCTTTTTAGTTGAATTGCCGTATATGCTGTGTCCTGGTGGTCAAATGTTGCCTCATAAGCTTGTTTAATTATTGCTATACTCTGCATTATCACCTCACCATCACGATCTTTCATTAACTTGTTTACTATATGTTATTGTTTTCCATATTTGGGTTAGCATGTGCTTTTCCCACTTTGTGTGTCAATCTTGTGGCAATTAATTTTGATCTATTAAGACCTGGTGGACTGATCAGTATTTTGCATAGGAGGATGTTCTCAATATCTTGTCTGAGGTAGAAGTTCCATAAAAATCTAAGACATATATGCAGATGATCTCCATGTTTTGCTGAACAATTCATTAGGTTTTCCACTATTCACATCGGAATTAGTTCTCTTCTAAACAGAAACACAGAGTTTGTTTTTGACCATTTTGTGTGTTTCAACTTAGGCCTTGGATTTTTATGCTATAAATTTTCATCTTCAAAGATAGTATTGATACAAATTCAGATACTACATGCTTAGAGAAACATTTGTCCATGACTAGCGTCAAACATCATTTGTGCCTCATCCATTCACGGTATTTGAGGAAAAATATAACTCTAAACTGGATTGCAGTATCTTCCATAATCGTTGAGGATGTGAATTTAGGTAATTGGGTGATGATTGTGTCCATATCTAATTTAGAGATCTGATGTAGGACTCACGGTTTAACTTCTACGAAATGATTATTTCCTGAAGTTTTGATCACTACCTCTCAACATTTTAACAATGTGAAATGCTTTAATAGCTGCCATGGCATACCTTTCTGTCAGCATCTTTTTCACAAGTAGCTAGCTTAGCATAGCCATAGGACATCTCACTTAGAAGACTGCAGTTGTGCTCCTCTTAAATTTTGCCTTCAAATCCTCTCTCTCTCTCTCTCTCTCTCTCTGTGCCCATCCTGAACTAGTAGCTTACCTACAAGAGCAGTGTCATTAAGTGACATCTAACTTGTTTGCTTTGAAATATTACAGCATATTACAATGACATTTGTGTTGGATCAATTGCTTGTCGACTTGAGAAGAAGGAAGGCGGGGCATTCCGTGTATACATAATGACGCTGGGTGTTTTAGCACCATATCGTGGGCTAGGGATCGGTAAGTCTCTCTCTCTCTCTCTCTCTCTCTCTCTCTCTCTCTCATCGTATTTAGAAATCATGAGAGAACATCTTCCTTGGGGATTTGGACAAGTTAGTGTGGCGGGGGTGATTTAGAAAGGGAACATATATAGAGGGAGGATCAGGACTTGCAGGAATGTTAAGTGGAGCTCTGGATTGGTGCTTGGTGATTGAACTTGAGATGTTTCTTGCTTGTTGGCCTGTTGGGCACTTGCTTTGCTATGGTTTTTAGAGACAGAATTGGTTCACTTACTTCTCCAGTTATTTTGATATGTGTTCTTTGATTTTAGACATGCATTACTTTTCCTAGTTAATCCTTTCTGTTCTGCGACCTGTCAAAACACTGTTCGGGGCCTCTGCTGATCTAATTAGCTTGATCTTCTGCAGGTACTAGGTTGTTGAATCATGTTCTCGATCTTTGCACCAAGCCGAACATTTCAGAGATCTACTTGCACGTGCAGACTAACAATGAGGATGCCATCAACTTCTATAAGAAGTTTGGATTTGAAATTACAGACACAATCCAGAATTATTACACAAACATTAGTCCACCAGACTGCTATGTCCTCACCAAGTTTGTTTCTCAGCCCCAAGCAAAGAAATGACAGATTCGCGGATTGGTTGGTTCTTGAAGTTGGAGATCATGGTCATTGTGCCATATTAGTTTACAACAGTGTCACTGGGGACTCTCTCTCTCTCTCTCTCTCTTCATATTCTTGATTCAATTACTCAGAAACTTTTAAGTTACATCTGATGCATTGCTGATAAACTGAGTTACTCTTGTAACCTTCTTTTTTTGTTACAAAGAGAGAAAACTAAATACTCTCTCTATTACATGAAGGGCTGCCTAGAAACATGGAACTTTGTTCGAGAAAGATGGAACTTTCAACTTTGTTACGTTCTTCGGCCTCAGTTTGAATGGACAAGCGATTTTGTACATCAGGATCTGGCCTTTTGAATCTAGTAGCTGGCTGGCTCTTTTATCTCTTTGTGACTAATATCTTGTGCTATTGGATGGATAACTGTCCTGTAGCTTGAATGTCACCCGCCACATCCAAAAGTTGATTTTTCCTTTCTTCTTTTGAATTGTCGTCGTATCTTTATTTGATGCTGGCAAAAATTTCCTGAAGATGGAATGGTGAACGTGCTGAAATTATTCTGAATTTCCACCTTTATGGGTGATCGCAAGGGATGCCGAGGAAGCTCTTCAAATTGCAGGGCCTCTGTTAAGTTTCATGTGGAATATGATATACATTGTTGTTCTTTCGCTAGGATAACTGCTGGTGGTTTATCTGATGGGGCAACAGTTGACCGAACAATTTTTGATGAATCAATAAGGAGCTTGCCATTCTCCACCTATAGTTTTCCTTTTTCCCCAATCCATTCATCAATTGTAAGAATGGATTTTACTACCAAATGGTTTTTAGCTGGGTGCGCGGGAGAGTCGATGGACGATATCGACGTGAATGAAGAAAACCAGAAAAAGGCAAAAGCATATTGATTCTATTTTCAACGACAAGGACCACAATTGTTGACAGAGAATGCGGCCTTAGAGCAAGATTAAGTGAAAGCAAATCTGTAGACCAGACCAGAGGAACAAGTAAGGGAATCAAAGTTCATGAAAAGTCTGCACTCACAATTGAAAGCAAAAGCTAGCATTACCACTAATTGAAGGTTTTTATTTACAATCTGACCCCCGGCCAAAGCTTCTCTGACATTGGACATTCATTTTACTACTTACGTATTATGTACATATTATGAAGGCAGAGACACCGTCCATGTGTTATCTTGGAGTTATGCTTATATGTACTTTTTGTATACATCGTAGGAGGCACACCCCAATCAGTAAGCCAAACCACCAGAAAAGGCGTCTCCATCGTGAAGCAGAGACTCTGTCAGCCAATAACCGTCCCAAGAACCACCAACCCTCTGCAAGTTTAGAGCAGCAAAGAGATTAGCAGATTACTAATTTGACAAGAGGACCAATCATTCCAACAACCATAAGCGTGCCCTATAGAGTTAAGCAAGTCTGTGATTAGCAAAGTATTTAGCAGTATGAGGTAAGAGCCACTATGCAAATGTGTAACGGGCCAAAAAGAAATTATAGGCAAATCTGATCAGAGATGCCAATGATCCTCCAAAAGGCAGAAAACTAATTAGAAATGCAGATGGTTCCATTGACTTGCTTCAAGATAAGGGCCTACAGGAACTAGTTTGTGCGTTTTGCCCATGACAAACAGAGGATCCATCCGAACACTACTTGACTTATGAAATAAAAGATTCAGCATGTGGGAGGCGTCATCAGCACACACCAAGAATTACATGAAAAGCAACAATTTTTGGACCAGCATAGGTTACATGAGCACACCTGAACCAAGGTAAATTCAAATGTTTCTTCCTCTTCAGGGCGTGATCCTTGTATCCATACCCTCTGCTTAAATCGATTCTGCAGAGCGGATGTGAAACAAATTGATTACTAGTCAAGACAGAACACGGTAGCAAAACCGTAAAAACTGAAGCAAGGATGAATCTACACTAGCTTGATGAGAAACACACGGCCAATTCACTTATTGACCCTACTTGCACATTTTCACTAAAGAAAATGTGTACCTCTTTCACCAATAGGCTGCTCAAGATCTTCCTGTCTTTGTGACCAAGTAGAACTCGGTAAGTGGAATGGTGAAAGATACGCCTAAACCGCTCAAACTGAGAACGGCAAACATCAAACGGGGTCAGTGCGGACCCTTAAATATCTCAGAAACACTCTTGCATTGATGAAAAGTACATTGTCACTTGATGATAAAAGGCCATTTCATAGCATTAGTGGAGAAATTTAGTTTCACAATCTGCAACATGGAGAACTTCTTAATGCTTGAAGACTGAACTATTTATTTAACCAACATGCACCAAACCAGAAGTGGGCATTTGACCAATCGCATCACACATTTTTTCAGCATTGCACATTTTATGCAAGAATGGTCATAGAATGGCATTGACTTCCCAGATAACTTTCAAAGAGGAAACAGCATAAATTTTCAAACTTAAAATTTCTACAGTAAGGTAATGAAGAACCAGGAGGAACAATTTAGGACTTTATGCATACTCACCTGCCCCAGGTCGAAGAAGGGTCCGAAATAAGGCGACCTTTCAAAAGGATCGAAACCAGCAAACTGGGGCAACAAGAAATCACCCTTGTCAGATAACCTACCAATTTGATGTGAAACCATTCCATGAGGTATGAGATGTAGCTTACCCTGTACATAACCTCAATGCCATAATCTTGTCGGGGTTGGTCATTGTACTTCAACGCATCAAGCTGGTGCTGCACAGCTTCCTCTGCACTAAACTACAAGAAGAATCTAATCTTGATTGATGCACACTGAACAAGTGGCTCTACATTACATACTTTGCAGAAAGGAAAATTTCTCTGATAAGCACAAGACATTACATTTAGTCTTGGCCCAAAAGGTTTCTTCTTCCGAGATTCAAGCCTGCAATCCAAAACAATCCCAACTTCATGAAACGCACATATCCATTCTACCTTTCAACACAAAAGAGTCATCGGCTAATCTGGGTCAACATTTGAGCTTAAAGAAATACAATGAAGTAGAGGACCGTTGACTACTGTCACTCCCCTATGCTGATGCACATGTACATGTGCATAGACACGAGCAAGAAAATTGCCCTCAATAGTTCCCGAAGTAGTACGTTTCAATTTTAGTAGCCAAGGTGGGTATTTTCAAGACAATATGGGAAAGAAACAGGCCAGCAAGATCATAGTCATTTGTTATGCTGTCTCTCTTGGATAGTCTAGTGGCAGTTCGAACACATTGCAAACTGAATGCCAAGGAAGCTTCCTGCCCCCTTCTACTTCTCTCTCTATCCTTCTTTTTTCCTGTTAGCGAAGACATACAAGCAAGAGAAATTAACTGAAATACAGTCTTTACATGCAGGCAACCGGTAGGCCGAAAAGGAGAACAAACAGGAAGTATTTGCTCTATTGGCACTTTTATATGAAAGAACGACGATCGAGGAAATGGAGGAAAATATTTCCTGATGTCTGCGTTTATATTTCCTTTCACCAAATGAGAGGAAATGGAGGGGGGGAAGATCTTCTTCCCCCCCAGACCAGGTCTGGCAATATTTTACATGAACTGACAAGTATATCGAAGAGGCATGGGGAACTGGGAAATAGTATAAACTCATAATAAACCAATTATTTAGCACATTCAACAACAATCATAACATTTTGCAAAGACACAAATTAATAACAGGAATTCGACAGGTGAACACCAACTATCACCCCAAGCGGGACAAAATTCGCGGTCATGAAGTAGAACATTGAGCAGAACCAAATTCTAGCATTGCCCCCCCTCTCTCTTCCACATAACAAAGATCCCCGCCAAACAAGTTCAGCGATGCCAGTACAAGACACACACTACTAATTCAAAGACTATATAAGGTGCAAACCAAAACTCGAATTGGTGACCCAAACACAAATCTCTCGCACGTGAAGGCGTGCGTAACCGAATGAACATGTGCCATGAACCCAAAATCATACGCTATAGCATTTCTTGAACCACTAAGCAACTATCAAATTGGCTATATCCACCATTGATGAATCGCCGAACCAGATGTCATCAATCCTCCACTTTCAAATTCAAGAAAGACCAAGAAGCTCACAAACTCTCCGCAACGAGCCCGACCCACATATTCCCTCAGGAAAACACGGAGGATCACAGACCCTATGCACCATAGAACAACATAACGAGGGGACCTCCGCAGAAACGGGTACCAATCGGCGGAGAGGAAGTCGGGAACGTCGGCGGAGGCCCTGAAGCGCGGGCCCGCGGGGACTGCCGCCGGGTGCCGGTGGTCGCCGCTGGAGACCCTGAGCTTGGAGAAGGGGGAGAAGGGCTGCGCGGGCGGTGACGACAGGGACGAGCAAAACGACATCGCCGCCGCCTCTCTCTCTCCGGGTTTCCTGGTCGTGGGAAGAAAGGTGCGAAGCTGCTGATGAGAGCAGAGCCGTGGCGTTTCCTTGGAGATGATGGGACGGGAGCTGCGTGGGATTCGAGATCCGCCGTCGAAAGCACTCGGCGGCGGTGGATCCAACGGTTTTAACGGACAGAGTAAAGGCGTGCGCTCTTAGCAGTTGGGAGGACACAGACAAGCTCGTTTGGTCTAGTTTTTGACTTTCTTGTGACAAACGTTGTTTTACAAATGATCCTGAAATTAAGTTCGGTATACAATATCACCCTCAAACTTTTAAATTTATTCAATATAATCCTCAGACTTTAGTATAACGTATAATATCGCCCCTAAACTTTTAATTTATTCAATATGGTCAATGAACTCATTATCCCTTTTAAAAAATACAAACAAACATGCTCAAAAAATAAGAAAAAATGACACAAATGGTCCCTGGTATAACTTGCAAAATATTCATGGACCACATTAAATAGTTTTTAAACTTTGATTCAATGTGCAACAACGTCTCTAAAAATTTTTAAAGGGATAATAACACCGACAATCATATATTCTTAGGTGATTTTGATGATTCATATGTTCTTACATGATTTACAAAACAAAAGAAGGTTAAGATCCTATATTCGAGATTCAAAGAATGTAACAGTAAGAATATATGAATTATCAAGGTTTTCTCGACGTAAGCTTCTTTTGTTTTTTAAATTTTAATAAATTCTAGCTTTGTCAAAATATTTTTCACCCGGTGGATTTCTTCTGATTCCGATGGATTCCGGTGGCTTTTGAAGCTGTTCTCCGGCAGCGAAGGCCTCGTGACTCTCCTCTGTGACTCCATTAAAGGATTCCGTCTCTTGTGCAGTATAACAGCAGCGAATTCAAATCTGGATTTCTCTGTTCGTGGGTTGCTACGCTCGCCTTTGCTGGTCGTCTGAGCGTTTGGGACCAAAGCAGATGGTGCCCTCACCTACTAAGGTAATGCCCTTGTTCTGAGGTGGTGCCGTCTCTGTGATTCTGGTTTCTCTCTTGGCTAGCCGAGCGTTGGGCTGGTGTTCTGAATTTGGTAGTTCTGGAGCGATTTTGTCTGAGCTGCGTAGCTGGAGTGTTGCAATGCTGTGGTGTGCTGCTCTATATGGTTGACTAGTTAGAGGTTTGATTGTGGGTCATTGATGGAGGAGGCTAGGATTTGTATGACCGCTTCCCCTGCTGCCGAACCTGCTCAAGGCACAGATGGTAATGCTGGAACAGAACAGAGGGGGAAAATGCCTTCCCTTTCTATTCCCCCTTCTGGACAGAGTCGAAACCGTAGTAGAGGCCGTTCTAAGATTAGGAGCAGGTCCCTCAGGCGTGCCCATTTTCGAGAGTCCTCTGATCGGCCTCAACCTGACAATGCTGGAATGTCCAATGCGGTTGGACAGTTGCCCAACAAATCCCAAGGGCAGCAACCTCCTGCACCTAAAACCAGAACTTGGGCAAATGTTGCTAGAGTTTCAACCAAAGGGTATAGCCTAACTTATATACCTCCAAGGGTGGTGGATGGTGAAGAGATCGTGGATATCACTCCAGATATAGCAGCTGCTGAGAATCCCATATGGCTGGAATGTGTTGTAGGTCAGTTTATAGGGAAGAAAGTCCCCTTCAAGCTGACTGAAGAGGCTATAAGGAAGGCATGGGGGGATAAAGTTGCTGAGATCAAACTACATGAGAATGGGTTTTATTTTTTCCGTGTTCCTGATAATGAATTCCGCAGAAAGATCATTGACTCGGGGCCGGTGTCCATCTTCAGCTGTACTATGTTATTACAACAATGGCACTCCAAGCTTAAGCTCAAGAAGGGAGCTCTGGATACTATCCCGGTTTGGGTAAGACTTAGAGACATTCCTTTAGCCTTATGGTCTCCTGTTGGCATTGGTAGCATAGCCAGTGCTATTGGCAAACCATTGTATGTGGATATTCAAACTGAACAGATGACCAGGATCTCATTTGCGCGAGTATGTGTTGTAATCAAAGCCACCAAACCAAGAGCTGAACATGTTAAATTCTGCTGGGATGGTGAGGTGAATACTATCAATATTGAATATGAGTGGAAACCTATGGCTTGCGCCTCTTGCGGTATTTTTGGGCATAAAGAGGGAGCCAATGGGTTTGATTGTGGTCATGTACAGTCCACTAATAAGACTGCTACGCCAGGCCCTTCACACTCTGTTCGTAAGTCTGGTCAGGATGTGCACCTCCAAAGGGCTGAAGGGTGGGTTCAAGTCCATTCCAGGAAAGGTAAAACTCCGGCTACTGAGCATGCCCCTGCTCCCAGCCTTTGCCCTCCAGCGACTACTGAAGATCACGATCAGCCCCCTCCAGATTTACTGGTGCCACAGAACTCGGTAAACACAGAATCAGTCTTCGCTCCTGATCCTGTTCAGCTCCCCCCCTTGAAGGCTACTGTATCCGACCATGTACCTCTGTCTCTCCGGCCAGCACAGAATTCTGTTCGGACAGATTGCAGGGCTGTTGATCCGTATTGCTCTATGGAACCCGAGAGAGAAGCCAATGAGATGGGGCCATCCCAAGAAGTTGAGGCGGGCCAGAGTCAAACCAATGCTCAGAAACCATATGGATGTATTGATCAGCAGATTCTGGATCCTCTACCCACGCCACAGGATTCCACTGAAGACTCCTCTGGTTCCCGAGTAGAACTAGAGGCATCTAGTGCCTCAGAAGACAGACTGGAAACGGAAGCTGCTGCTGTGTCCCCCCCCAACACTAGATCTCGCACGTTTGCATCCAGTGTCTCTGAGGATGTGCCCAAACCCTCTCCCGGTTCTACACATAGCTCGAAATGCCCTATGAGTGTTCCTAGCCCGTCCTCCTCAAAAAAGGAATCTAAAAGGAGGAGGCTAAGGAAAGCTCAGAGATAGTTTTTTCCCTTTCTTCTTATATGTTTTTTGGAATATGGAATATCAGGGGGCTAGTTGGACCCCTTAGGCAAGCAGAAATTCGCTCCTTTATTAGGAAGAATCATCTTTGTTGTATTGGTATAATAGAAACTAAAGTCAAGGCTTCTCGGTTTATTGAGATATCTAAAGCCCTTTTTGCTAACTGGAATTGGATGTCCAATTATGAATTCTCTCCCCTTGGAAGAATATGGCTTGGTTGGGACCCAAATGAGATTGAGATGGACCTCCATTTCTCCTCTTCTCAACTAATTCATGCTCAAACAAGGTTGCTGCACATTAATGAAACTTGTATGCTCACAGTAGTATATGGAGAACACACCTTCATGAATCGAAGACAATTGTGGGCTGACCTTATTCAGCTCTCCTCATGTGATCTCCCATGGCTTGTTGCTGGGGATTTTAATGCGATTAGAGATCCAGACAATAGAGTGGGCAGTTCCACCCTGTGGATTCCAGCTTTTGATGAATTTAAGGAATGTCTCGACCATGCGGGACTGGAGGATCTCCGTTATGTTGGTTGTAGATACACATGGTCGCACTCCTCAGGTGCCAACCGGAAAATGCGTAAAATTGACCGAGTACTTACCAATGCTAGTTGGTCTCAAATCTTCTCCTACTTGGAAGCTAACTTCCCTCCACCCGGTATTTCGGACCATTCTCCTATGGTGATCAAGATTGTTCCACCGTCTACTTCGAACAAGCCTTTCAAGTTTTTCAACTTTTGGGCTTCTCATCCAACGTTTCTGGATCTAGTCACTCAAGTTTGGGATATGCATATTGAGGGTACACCTATGTTCAATGTTTGCTGCAAACTTAAAGCTCTTAAGTCTAAGCTGAAACATTTGAACCGTTGTTCCTTCTCGGATATTTCCACAAGAACAGAACAGGCTAGATCGGACCTATTCATTGTTCAGACGGCCTTGGACTCGAACCCCTTCGACCAGAGCCTTCTTGCAAGAGAAATGGAGCTTCAAAGAATATTTTCCGACCTAAGACTTCAAGAAGAATCCTTTTATAGGCAAAAATCCAGAATCCGTTGGATTAAGGAAGGGGATATGAATACCAAGTTCTTTCACCACCATGTCAATCATAGACGTATTCATAATAGAATTTTGTCCGTTTCATCAGACGATGAGGAGTTTATTACAGAACCATTGGCGATTAGAAATCATATAGTATCTCACTTTCATCAACTACTCACCGGCAGCTCTTCCACTGTTCAGACCTCAGTCCGGGAGGTGAGTGGTTTTATTGACAAGACCTTAGATGAAAATCAGTAGCTATTCTTGTCACAACCAATAACCGATGAGGAAATTAAAGCCACACTTTTTTCACTTGCCAAAGGCAAGGCTCCTGGGCCAGATGGATTCAATGTTGAATTTTTCAAACTCACATGGGAGATTACTGGCCCTTCAATCTTGAGGGCGATCAAGAACTTCTTTGAAACTGGCCGCATGCTCAAAGAGATTAACAATACCATATTAACATTGGTACCGAAAACCCCCAATGCGTCGAGTATGAATGATTTCCGACCAATTGCGTGTTGTAACACCCTTTATAAATGCATATCCAAAATTCTTGCAAAGCGTATCGCGCAGGTCTTACCTTCGATAATTGGACCGCCCCAAATGGCATTCGTCCGAGGTCGTAGAATAAGTGACAACATTATGATCGCCCAGGAGCTGTTTGCGGACTTCCACCATGAGGCTTACCTTCCTAAGTGCGCCATCAAGGTGGACTTCCAAAAAGCATATGACACGATTGAGTGGAGCTTCATTCAAAAGGTGCTCGCAGCTTACAAGTTTCCGGAAAACTTTACTAAGCTAGTTTCGGCCTGCATTTCCACCGCCAAATTCTCAGTTGCTATAAATGGGGAGCTTCATGGATTTTTTGCTAGTACCCGGGGTATACGACAGGGAGATCCACTTTCGCCGTACTTATTTGTCTTAGCTATGGAAATCTTCTCTGGTATGCTCAGAAATAAAACTCATAATCCGGACTTCAAATGGTTCTGGCGTTGCAAGAAAGTGCGAACCTCCCATCTTTTCTTCGCGGATGACGTCCTTATATTTGCACAGGCGCACTTGAGATCTATACAACTAATCAAGGAAGCAATTGATTTGTTCTCGAATTGGTCTGGTCTAAGACCAAATGCCAGGAAAAACAATATTTACCTCTCGGGAGGGAACCCGGAGTTACATAGTGGCCTCCTACTTTGCCTTGGTTTTCAACAAGGATCTCTTCCCTTTCGATACCTAGGCGTGCTTGTCATATCCTCGAGGCTTCGTAAAGAGGATTGTAAATGCTTGATTGATTCCATAACGTCGCGTGTCCGATCTTGGACCCATCGGTTCTTGTCTTTTGCGGGCCGTCTACAACTTAATCGATCAGTCTTGCATTCTATCCAGGTGTATTGGGCCACCATCTTCTCTCTTCCTAAATCGGTGCTATATGGTATTGAGGCCATTTTGAGACAATTTCTTTGGAAGGGCCCTGAATTAGGTTCGGGTGGCGCTAAAGTCGCATGGGATACGGTATGCCTTCCTAAAGAAGAAGGAGGTCTTGGGATCCGCAGACTTACTGAATATAATAGAGCTATGATGCTCAAACACATATGGCTTCTTTTCACCGATAAGGAGTCCATGTGGTGCAAGTGGATACACTCGAACTTCATAAAAAGCTCTAACTTCTGGATTGTTTCTAAGCCCACTTTTTGCTCCTGGACGTGGAAGAAAATCCTTGACATACGAGGCTCTGCTCGGACTATTTTTCGATGGAAAATTGGTCATGGTCGGTCGGTCTCATGGTGGTTTGATTGGTGGCACGACAAAGGCCCCCTATACCTTCTGTTCAGTGATGCGGACATTTATCAGTCTCGTATTCCCCGGGACAGGTCTGTTCGGGCCTTTTATGACTCAGTATGGCAGCAGTCACATACTTTGGATACTATATTGAATTGGACGGAACCTCCACCTATTTTTGAGGATGACATTGAAGATGAGCTGATCTGGGCTCCTCAACCATCCTCTACCTTCTCGGTGGCGATAGCTTGGAACCATATAAGAAGAAAGGGACTCCCCGCTCAGTGGCATTCCTTCATATGGGATCATCATTTTGCTCCACGCCACTCCTTTCTTCTATGGATAGTTTCCCTTGGTAGATTGCCTACACAGACTGCGCTTATTCATAATAGCAGAATTGATTCCGCTCTATGTGCGTTTTGTGGTACTACTTCGGACTCAATCAACCACCTCTTCTTTCAGTGCTCCATTACAAGAAGCTTGGCGTTTTTTTGGGCAACTAAATGCTATCTTCCATGGCGTAACCGGCCATGGCATAAGCATATAACATGGGCAATGAAGGTTTGTGGAGGATCATCATTTGCTCATCGTCTCTCCAGGTTCTCATTTGGAGCCCTTTGTCATATAATATGGACTGAAAGAAACAACTCTATTTTCCGAAACAAGAGTACTTTCATCCCTGGTATACGCAATCATATGATCAAAGTGGTGAAGGATAAAGCCTCAACCCTTGGAAGAGTTGCAGACACACCATTGAATAGGAGATTACAAAGGAGTTGGGGGCTCTCACCATCCATTTTTTCTTAAATGGGCTGGGTTGGCTTTCCTTTGTATAGCTTTCCCTTGTCTCCTTTGTGTTTTTGTGGTTGAGTTTTCCGTGTTCCTTTGGCTTGTACCTGCTTTGTTGTTTGTAGGTCTTTTGGTTAGCCTTGTTGGGTGACCTTCTTCCCCCTCTTGTTCATTCGGGGCCCTGGGGTGTCCCCTCTGTCTTGTATAGTCTTGCTGGACCTCTCTTGACCCTATATGGACAGGTTATGTCCTAATAGGGTCAGGACTTGGTTTGAGCTTTAGCTTGTATTTGGTGTTTGAGAAAGTTATATATACACTTACCTTTACCAAAAAAAAAAATATTTTTCATAATTACCGAGCACTATCATGGAATACTATTCAAGATTTCTCTAAGCTCCCTTAACATAAAGAGAGAGATACTAACGCTCCGTTTGCTTCGGGGGAAATCACAAATTTGGAAATTTTTTTTCTAATTTTTCTCTTTTCTATTTCTTATAAATGAAAGCGAGTCTGCGAAAAATGTATTCATTATTAAGTTAAAAGATGTTGGTGTGCGCAGGAGCCTCTTCGGAGATGATCGGACCTGCGTGTCACAAAGACAGATGGACTCTTCGATTCTCAAGTTAGAAGATGCACTCGCATCGCATAAAGGACTATGAAAATGATATCAACTTTCATGCTAGGAAAAAAGTTTCATTTTAGTTTATGATGAACAATAACAGTCGATTGTCAGCGACACAATCAATTGAATGGGGGTCACTAATTATCTACTTTTTATTTCAACTTTTAACCGAATAATCTTTACTTAGATACGACACCAAACTTAAACAATTCTCCACGAGCGATCTTCTTAGTTTTGATGAGTTTATCGCATCTGCTCACGTGTACGTCGCATTAGGGGCGAGCATCCGTCCCCGCTCAACTCAGGAACCGGACCGAACAAGCCAACTTTGGGCGGTTCCCACCAGAATTCGATTCTTGGTTCCAAAAATTCAGAACTGGCAATAACCGATTCAGTTTCAGGTTCTTTGTGATAAACCGGACCGACGGACCGAACAGGTGGAGCCAGCAATAGGTGCTATGTTCTTCTTCTAGCTAGAATCATATTTGCTTCATCCTCTCGGTGACTCTCATCTTCTGCAGGAGCTGCTTCAAACAGTCACCACTGAAACATACCCAGAATGGGACGGTCTCGGATAACCCACCATTACAAAGACAAGCAAAAGTAAGTTCCTCCTCTTTATGCCCCACCAATATAACCAGCAAAAAACTTGCTCTTGTTCTCACTTACAGCTGGTTCCATTTCTGCTTCCTTCCCTTGCGTGGAAACCCCACCTCAAGGCAAACGAATGCAAAGATGGCACGACACCTCTCCACACAATGCCTTGCAAACGGAAATTTCCCCATGTCTTCAACACCTCACCCACACCAATCTGCATCCCTTTCTATCAACGTCAAATGAATAAATGAAATGCGCAATTATAGCCAGTGTGATTCCTTCCAGCTATTTGCCACCCTTGTTGCATTGTAATGATACATGGTATCTCAAACCTCAAGCTGATTGCCAAGTTCATCATCATCATCACCACCTGTCTTTTCCTCTCTTTTCAAATGGTAAATAGAGAGCATGAAATGCGAATCCGAACCCTTCCTCTTACATCTCAGCTCTCTTTTTTTTACCCCATTAGTGAAATGGGTATCCTCACGAGGCTTTTCTTCTCTGGGATCGGAGGAGGAATAAATCGAAACGACACCAGCTATTAGACAGGGAGTTCCTACCGCCCATCGAGGGGCCGATCCATCATTTTAAGGGCGCCGTGCATTTCGTCGTACCTAATACACAAGATGCTGTACCTTGTACACATCTCTAGAAATCATTAATGAACAATAGAGACAGATTCTTTTAAGATCCAATAGATCACCGGTTGGGTCCGGCTTTCGGGGACTTGCAAGAAGTGCCCTCTTAAATGGAGCTGTATCTGAGTTGGCCATGCTTTGTGGGGGACCTAGCAGATCTCAACTACACAATCTAACATGAGCCAAGATTGACTCGTCACGGTCAAATTCAATCCCTGCTCAATGCAAAATCAAGCGAAAGGCTTTGTCCCTCTCGCCATCAAATCACAAAAGAGAATGTGTTTGCTTCTGGTCCCCTCAACAGTATTCAATTACCCCATCTTTAAAAGCTTCACTTCATCATGTCGAAGGAGTGTTAGGTTGATTTCTTCTTTTGGTTTTTGGAATAGAAGTACTGATTTTCCTGTTTTTTTAGAAAGAATTCAACTCATCTCTTTCTTCTTTGCTTTGTCTCGACTATATATATATATTTTTTTTTTCATCCGTTGTTTCGGCTAGGGTTGGCTTGACACGCGAGGATACGCTTTCTTGGATACTATTGACACCGTGCTGAGTTTGGACCACGTTGATACCGATGAAAATTCGACAACGTTAGTGATGTCTCGTCAGTATTTTGAGTTGTTAGAAATAATGGGTGGGAAAAGGGCCAAATTTGCATGTACGGGAGTCAAGCGAGTTAGATAACTTGATTGCACCAAAAGATTAAAGTATGAAGTGGTAAAAAGAAACTCGTAGTTAAGAGATAATAAAGCAAACTCTCGTGTAATGACTCGATTGTTTGGAACTTCGTTTGGTCATCGTTCTTTTACTTTTTCGCACGTACATATAATGAGTGCCTTAGCTGGTAAGGAATTGCATCCTTAATTCAAAGTTAAAAAGAACTATTAATCTATAATGTCGTGCAAGGAGTGAAAATTAATCGCGCGCGTGCATGAATACTAGTTACTGGTAAAAGAAAACAGTGTATGCTCAGTATGAGCAACAAAGGAAAGCGAAAAAAAAAAAATAGTGAATTTGCATAACGCATCAAAATCTTCAATTAATTAAATGATTAAGGATGATTGCCATCTAATTTCAAGAAGGGGTTATAGTGTGAGCGATAAATGGGTTACCCAAATTTGTCTTTTGTTTTTCAATTTTCATTCACCTTATTAATAGCCTCACAATTATGCCCAGTGATGGTTGATTAGGGTGTTTAACAAAGGGGAAAAACCATAAAAAAAAAAAAAACTCAAATTATGTCCACCGTGATACATTTGCCGCATAAAAAATCTCAAATAATATCCACTATGACAAATTTACCATAAAAATTTTCTTGTGATATTAAAAACTCCAAACTTGTACCTGTGTGTCACATCCATTCTCTATCTGTGTACAATCATATAATTTTCCAGCTAAAACAATGTCGTTTTTTATTTCGCTCAAGCCACACAGGCGCGCCATGTCAACATAGCTTGCCTCCCGCCGTCCACTAAGACAGATTTTTAACGGTGATCAATGACGTAAGGTAAACGTGTCACACATGTACAAATTTAAAATTTTTGGTGTCTCAAAATTTTTTTACGATAAATGTATCACAGTAGATATAATTATGAGTTTTTAAAAGGCTTTTGTTTCCCTTAACAAATATATAGTTCCTCTTCTATGTTTTTACGAAAATTTTGTAATTTGTTGAAAATCACTTTTTGAAGCTTGTGCCGTATGTAGTAGATATCTAAGTCGAACTACATCAACGGGCTTCGTGCACAGTCTTTCCTATTAAAAAGCCTAATCATTCACACTAATTACCATACTTTGTAGCCGTGGAGCACGTGACCGATTCATAGGCATCGCCCACTGAGCACACACGCACTTGTCATTTATTAACGTCTCTCGAACATCTCAAACTCTCTCTCTCTTTCCGGCCATTGTTCCTCACGGGCAACAAGAACAAGGGGAATGTCTGCTCGGATTCGTCATCCGGAGAGGTTCGATTTGTCCTTCTAACCTCGCTCTCCGCGTGTGTTTTTTTGGGGTACCCGTGGATTGCGTCCCTCGGGACGTGTTTTTTTTTTGTTGGTCGACAACCGCATTGGGTTTTGCTCAGTTTCGTTCGCTCTTGGGGTCGGTGTTGTTGCTAGATCTCTGCGCGCGGGGTCGAGCCTGTCGTGAGAATAGCGCGAGAAAGGTTTGGTTTTGACTGATTTCGAGAAATGGGGTTCTCGATTCTTGCAGGGATTGAAGCTGCTTCGCCGCATTTCCGTGGTTGCGTGTTGGGAAATTTCGCGTTTTGACTTTCTCTCTCTCTCTTCTGTGTTGGGTACCTTTGCCATTGCCGCTCTCTTGATTCGATGTGATGGTGTGATCTTTCGCAATCATTTGGAGGTGTTTTGGTCGAAAGTTTCTTTCTTGGGGAGTGTCCGCACCTGATTTCGCTGTTGCATTCGATTCGAGCCAGTCTTTAGAGTTTGGTGCCCATTTGAGTCTTTTTGTGTTTCCCCCGCAAAAAAGAGAACAAGATGTCGTCGTCGAATCCGAACGAGCCGTTGATCCGAGAGTCCTCTTCTAGGAAGCTCCCTGATTTCAAGCAATCGGTGAAACTGAAGTATGTGAAGCTCGGATATCATTATCTCATAACCCATGGAATGTACCTCTTTTTGACCCCTCTTGTTGTTGTCATTGCTGCACAACTCTCCACATTCTCGATCCGGGACCTCTATGACCTTTGGGATCATCTGCGGTTCAATCTCATCTCGGTGATCCTATGTTCGACCCTTCTCGTGTTCCTGTCTACCCTTTACTTCCTCACGCGCCCTCAACCTGTTTATCTGGTCGATTTCTCTTGTTATAAGCCGGACAATGAAAGGAAATGCACTAGGCAGATTTTCATGGAGAGGTCGCAATCGGCGGGTACATTCACAGAAGAGAATCTTGAGTTTCAGAGGAAGATTCTTGAGAGGTCGGGACTGGGGGAGTCAACTTATCTTCCGGAGGCCGTTCTAAGTGTACCTCCGAACCCCTGTATGGCAGAAGCAAGAAAGGAGGCCGAAATGGTAATGTTTGGCGCTCTCGATCAACTGTTTGAGAAGACATCTTTGAAACCAAAAGACATTGGGATCCTCATTGTCAATTGTAGCTTGTTCAACCCAACCCCATCTCTATCTGCAATGGTCATCAATCGTTACAAGTTGAGAGGGAATATCATCAGCTATAACCTCGGTGGAATGGGATGCAGCGCTGGTTTGATTTCGATTGATCTGGCCAAGGACCTCCTCCAAGTGCATCCAAATTCTTATGCCTTGGTCATTAGCATGGAGAACATAACTCTAAACTGGTACTTTGGAAATGAGAGGTCGATGCTGGTGTCGAACTGCTTATTCAGGATGGGAGGAGCTGCAATTTTGCTATCCAACAAAAGATCCGACTGCTGGCGCTCCAAGTACAAATTGGTGCACACTGTTCGGACCCACAAAGGTGCAGACGATAAGTGCTTCTCTTGTGTAACTCAAAAGGAGGATCCTACAGGAAGGATCGGAGTTTCTCTATCCAGGGATTTGATGGCAGTGGCTGGAGACGCCCTGAAGACAAACATTACAACATTGGGTCCTCTTGTGTTGCCTATGTCCGAACAGTTGCTGTTCTTTGCGACTCTGGTCGGAAAGAAGCTTTTCAAAATGAAATTGAAGCCATACATCCCAGATTTCAAGTTGGCCTTCGAGCATTTCTGTATTCATGCTGGAGGAAGAGGAGTGCTCGATGAACTAGAGAAGAATCTGCAGCTTTCAGATTGGCACATGGAACCTTCGAGGATGACACTTAATCGGTTCGGCAACACATCGAGCAGCTCTCTTTGGTATGAACTCGCTTACAGTGAAGCCAAAGGAAGGATCAGGAAAGGGGACAGGACATGGCAGATAGCTTTTGGTTCGGGATTTAAGTGCAACAGCGCTGTTTGGAAGGCTCTTCGCACCGTGAATCCTGCGAAAGAGAAGAATCCATGGATGGACGAGATCCATCAGTTTCCAGTGGAGGTCCCGAAGGTCTCGGCCATCTAGAGTTCAAAGGTAACTTCATTTGTTTCTAGCCTAGTGTAAGTTTGCTAATTTCAGTAGTTAAATGTGAAAGAGTTTGAGATGCCATTCTTTTGACTTGATATTGGAGAGAGGGAAGTAGATTATAGAACCCTCTGGATATTGGATGTTATAGCTAGAGCTGGACTCTGGGGAAATGTATGGTGGCTTAGGAGTTTGATTCCAATATCCATAGTTCATTCCCTTTTGGCATCTCTCACCAATCTGTATTCTGAACCTTCTTTGGAGTCCTGAATGTTTGACTGATCTTTAGGGCTTGAAATGTTTCTTTTTCTAACTATCTGATCGTCTTAAACTGGTTGGTTACCAATAAGTGTCTGAAACCCTCGATATGCATTTCTACTTGCAAGAGTTAATTTGCATCAGAAGAAGCATATATCGAAAACGACCCGATTCAACTCAACACTACCTAAATCCACCACTTTTCAGGGGAGATGTTGTGGAACCAGAGGTAAAAAGTTCACTAACCTTAGCCACCTCCGAATGAACATCAACTAGAGGTCCGAATTTTTCAGGCATTTTACTAGCTTCTGTTGTGTAGTGCGATCTCTGCGCCTCTATGTTCAATGTGATCGTAGATGCTCACGGGAAATTCTCCTTCTCACATGGATCTCATCTGTTTTGGATGCACGGGAATGTGAAAGGTGGGAGCATATTCTCGGGACACCATTCCAGATGAAGAATTCGATCCCTAGGCCATTTATGACCAGGGGAGAGAAGTTAGTTGTCGAGTGGATTTTCATGTTCTGTTCTTTTTCATGGAGACAGAGAATATAGGCAACTCAGCATTTGATATCGAGGGTCGATTCATTATGCACGGCTTCACTGTCGAGGATCCCGAATCTTCGACATCGAATGTAAAGTCTCGCTCCTTTACGATAGGTTTCTAAGCGTGAACGCGCCTATTATGGGTCGAATCAAGGTAAAGGGTGATGGGCCTTTGTAAATGTGAATTAGCTGACCAACGAAAGATCAAGAGACTTCCAAAAACACCTTCACTATCTGACTGTTTTCGTTTTTGTGCATAAGCGGGATCGATGCCCACTTCATCCGCCGCTAGAACATTCGCTTGATGGCGCCACCGAAGCACCCATTGCCCACCGGGCAAGCCCGTAATCGCAGCCCCACAAGGTGCAAGTAGGGAAGTCCGAGAGTGGCGATACACGTAGCCCAGACTCGTCCTTTGCGGAGTAACCAAGATTTACTTAGATCGAGGATAAACTGGGGACTCGAACTGGTGACTTTCGGCTTGCAAACCAAGTCTTTGATCACTCGATCAATCACCTGGCTGGTTTTCTGTTGGATTGTGCACAGGGCTTTCATCTGTACGCAGTGGTCAATCGTTCTTATTAACTTCGTCACCAAACCACGTCCATCTAGCGAAGAAGTTTGTGACGTTGCGTCCGAAGTGTCCATGCATGAGCTAATGGAGAACGGGTCACGAGCTCATCGACCACCAGAGCAAGATTTTGATGGAGACATCGTAATTGTAAAAGGATATCGGATTTCTTTAAACTTAGAATACTCTACTTATCAACATATTCAATTTTAGGGTATGCTTGTTTCGGGAAAAACTTTCATGGTGAAGGAAAATGTTTTTGGGAAATCATTTTCCAGAAAAATGTTTTTCTCTTTTTAAGTTAGGGAATTCATTTTTCTAACTTTAAACATCAAAATTTTCTTTGACCGTAAAGAGTTTTCTGTTAATTGATCATTTTTAGCAAATCAAACGCGAGAAAGTATAAAAATCTAATTTGCGAAAAATTCTTTTGCTCGAACAAGCACTCCCTAACTGATACGTGTCCTCCTTTCTTCCTTTGCGGTTTTTTTTTTGGATTTTTTTCTTCTTCGTTGGCCACAAGTTAAATTGCCAACATGAAGGGTTTAGTTTCTAGTTGAACACCCAAGTTAAGAATGAACCCTAAAGTGGGTGCTCCGTTTTTAATATCGATGTAATAGATCATATAGCTAACAACTATGTTTCCGGCAATATCAATTCATTTTAGGATGTGTTTGTTTCACTCAAAAATTTCATGACAAAGGAAAATATTCTCCATTGAAATTATCTTCAAGAAATATGGTTAGTTTTCGGTTGTTTGGTGATTTAGGATAAGTGATTTTTTTTTCTTACTAGAAAATGAAGTCATTTTTCCCCAATCTAAGCTTATTGTTTTTAGTCCATGAAAAACGTGTTCTGAAAAGTTGGAAAATAATTTCCCGGAAACAATTTTCCTTCAAACAAACAGACTCTTAATATTGATGAATGGGCGGAACATAGTCAATCATAGTAGCGTCATACACAATTTCCTTAAAACCCTACTTTGCTTTGCTTCGCTTTGCTTCCCAGGTATCATCCTGATCACTTCAAACCCTGCATGTAAATCACACAACAATCACCAAAATTTCTCAAAATTGAGATAAATCTACAAAGACACAAAATTGTAAGCAAAATAATGAACAATAGTCCAATCAAAGAACCGGCTACTTACTGTACGAATTCGACGTTGACAGACGATGCGGACGGATTCGCAATGGCCTCGAACGCAGTCTTGGACAGGACGATGGTGGCATGGTCCAACGAGGACCGGGATACTGTGCTGAGCGCCCGGTCCACGATCCTGACCTGGACCAACTGGGCCGGGTTGCAGGTCTTCGGCCGGTCAGCGCTTACGCACCGGACCCAATATTGCCTCCCACAAGCGGCGCCATTGTCCCAAATCCCTTCCCCGGCAGCCGCAAACAAGAAACTCGAGGGAAACTGCAGCGGATCGTACCCGAAGCAAGCGGTCGCTGCGATCATATTACAAAAAACCTATCAATGTTTAGACAAGGATCGAATTGTAGTAACGTGGCCCGGTGATATACCGGAAATTAAGAGCCGGTTCGACAAGTATATACTTACGCGTGTATGGAGGATCGTAGTGACCAGCAGTCCCGACGTCTGCCTCGGATCGCCGAAGCAATATCACGGCGATAACAAGGATCGATGAGAGACAGCGAGGGACGACTCGTTGCAATCGCGGCATTGTCGAGAGCGAGAGTTTGGAAAGATGGGATACTTGTTAGGTGTGATGGAAAAATCTCAGGTGAAAGTTGATGGGATGTTGTCGCTTGAAACGGACGATCCGTACAAAGGTTTAACGAGGGACGTGGTGAGTGGAAACTACAAAAGTACTTGGATCTGCAAACGAACAAAGAGAAGAATAACCGCATGAACACATATTAAAATGCAAATGGCTGCAAAGATCAAACTGAGATTAAACAAGAGTTCTCATTCTCTTGTGATTCTCGGCGCCCCCGGTCTTCTCTTGCACCAGCTTCTTGATTTATATCCTTGATTCTCGGCGTCTCCTTTCCGGTAAACCTTATCGCGTTCTAGAAATATCAACCGAAACCCCTCGATGATACGCAAAGTCAAACATGCATTTCGCTTTGGATATTCGAAGACTAGAGAGCTTTTCTGTTCACATATGTTCTGTCACACGAAGGAAATTCGTGTACACGATCTGCACCCAGCTAGCCAAGTGATGGGTCCATTAGGGGGAGAGAATGTAACGTGCTTGAGGACAAACAGAATGACACCTCGCGGACTTTAGAGAATGTTACTTTTTTTTTTGTTTTTTTTCCTTTTTTCGTTCGTTTTTCTTTTCTTTTCTTCGTTTTTTTTCCCCAACTGTGGCCCGGCGAGGTAGCCGGCCGACCATCGCTGGCCACAGGCGAGGTAGCCGGCCGACCATCGCTGGCCACAGGCAAGGGTCTCTCTGGGCAAGGGCGTTGCAGCCCTCCCTTAACATTGCGACTGTATAGATACTAAATATTTTTGGGTTGCAATATTAGGTACCGACATATATTATGTAATGTATGTGTCTCGTTGACGTATCTGGTATTAATTACTTATTGGTTGCTGCTACATGATGATGCCCTACAATTGTAATTAATTCCTATTAGAATATGATAGTTATTCTTTAATAATCAGATAATTGTATTATAATCAGTGATTAAATATGATAATTTGAAAATTTATAATTGCAATATTATATCATACCTAACTTTTGTTATTATCAATAGCATCCACGAATAATAATGTTGGTGTTGGCTCATTGGCAAATTAGTCCGCATTTGAGAATCGTCACATGCATTATCGCATCGTATAATTACTTGCCTCCAAATTGTAAATTTTTTTATTTTTTAATTATCTGAAAAAAATCTATAAATTTGTCTCTATATTTGATTTTGCAAATTTTTGCGCTGACCATATTATACATAATTTTCCAATGAGTTAATTGTTTTTACTAAGTTTCTCATCGTTGTTATAGTCAGTACCAAGCATAGAATGCCAATGGGGAAACATCTTCATTTAAGATAACAATTTACAGGGTACCATACTAAGGACATAAGTGCCGTTGAGGGTTTATAGTTCTTTGAAAAGAAATGCAAATAGGATCTATCCTAAACCTCACTTTAGTAAAGTTTTGCAAGTAATAAAGGCAACTTTAGCATATATAATGCTTTAAACCTTGGGTTAATACCATGAAAAACTCCAAACTGATACACATGTGACAAATTTACCAAAAACTAATTTTTTTACCATGAAAATCTCAACCGGTATACCTGTGACAAATTTACCCAAACTAATTTTTTACCACTAAAAACCCTAAATTGGTACACATATAACAAATTTACCCAAAACTAATTTTTTGATCACGAAAAATCCCAAATTGGTACTCCTGTAACAAATTTACTCAAAACTAATTTTTTGACCACAAAAAACCTCAAACCGGTACAAGTGTAAGAAATTTACCCCCAATTAGCCGTCAAATTTTTTCGTTAAATTTGCTGACTTGGGTGACGTGGTATGCTGACGCGATAAGTCCACATGGAAATCCATAGGGTAAATACCATGAAAAACTTCAAACTGATACACCTGTGACAAATTGATTAAACCAGTTTAGGATTTTTCGTGGTATTAACCCAATGAATTTTCACGTGGACTTGCCATGTCACCATGTGTCAGCCACGTCAGCAAATTTAACGGTAATTTTTACGAAAGCTAACGAAGGGTAAATTTGTCATAGGTGTACCGGTTTGAGGTTTCTGATGGTCAAAAAATTAGTTTGGGGGTAAATTTGTCACAAGTGTACCGGTTTAGAGTTTTTTGTGGTCAAAAAATTAGTTTGGGGTAAAATTATCACAAATGTATCAGTTTAGGGCTTTTCGTGGTAAAAAAATTAGTTTAGAGTAAATTTGTTACATGTGTATCAGTTTGGGGTTTTTCGTGGCATTAACCCTTAAACCTTAAAAGGAGGAGCCTTTTGTTCTACTAATAAAAGTTTACAATTTTGGCAAATGGGAGTAAAAAAATGAATTCTAAAATGTTCAATGTAGTCCATGAACTTGAATTAATGGAAGGATTTCATTGAATATTTTCATATAGTTCATGGATTAAATTGAACATGTACCAAAAGTTCATGGGCCACATTGCATATTTGACCAAAGTTCAAGGACTGTTTGTGTCATTTTTCCATCTATCTATATATGATCTCTCTCTCTCTCTCTCTCTCTCTCTCTCTCTCTCTCTCTCTCTCTCTCTCTCTCTCTCTCTCTCTCTCTCTCTCTCTCTCTCTCTCTCTCTCTCTCTCTCTCTCTCTCTCTCTCTCTATATATATATATATATATCGTCATGAGCTTATGGAGAACAGGTCACGAGCTACGAGATCCCTTTGACTATGATCAAACATGACCTAATCGACCGCCCAAGCAAGATTTCGATGTAGACATCGTAATTGTAGAAAGGATATTGGGATTGTTTAAAGGGCAAAAGCCACAAAAAATCCTAAATTATGCCCACTGTAACACATTTATCCTAAATTTTTTCTATGACACAAAAAATTCTAGACTTGTAACTGTATGACACATTTACCCTCTGTCAAAGTTTTGTCAATGAAAACTATTAAAAATCTACCTACATGAATACTGAAAAGCAAACAGTGTTGACATGGCCCCGGCGAGGGCTCCCCTCGCCAGATCCGGCGAGGCCGGCCGTCGCCGTGGCCACGGCGGCCTCGCTGGGTGTCGCCTTCCCCCGGGCGACATCCGGCGGGCCGCCGTGGCCCGGGCGACGCTCGGCGGGCCGCCGTGGCCTGGGCGACGGCCGGCCTCGTCGGATCTCGGCGAGGAAGCCTCGCCGGGCTCGCCCTCGCCCATGCGAGGCGAGGCCGACCTCGCCGGGCTTGCCCGCCGTCGTCCGGGCGAGGGTCGCCGGGCCTCGCCCGTGGCGGGCGGCGGCGGCCTCGTCCGGCGAGGCCAGGCGGCCGGTGGCCGGCCTCCCGGTCACCGGCGATGACAAAGGGAGAAGAAAGAAAAGAAAAAAAGAAAAGAAGAAAAAAAAGAAAAAAATTCAGAAAAGTATTAAAAAAATCGAAATATATACGTGGAAATGCCACGTAGACTAATTTTTAAAAAAAAAAAATCCAACCAAGATTAAAAATTTAATTATAAATTCCATGTATTAATTTGGCCGGAATTTCTCGCCGTTGACACCAAAGTGATCATTTTTCCTTCGATTTGGCACTAAAGTGATACAAATGAAACTTTTGGCACCAAAGTGGCCTCCGTACACAAGTTTTGGCACCAATGCTGTTCTTCCCCCCTTTGTCGTGTGTAGCCATAATTAAAGTGCGAATTTGTCCTTGGCCAAAAGCTATATTGCCAATCGCTCTAGTTTCTATTTGGATACCTAAGTTACCGATAAACCCAAAATAAGGGGCATAGGTTTTAATATTGATGTAATAGATCATATAGCTAGCAACTATGTGTCTAGCAATATCAATGCATTCTAATTTTGATGTGACGCTACGAGTCAATGTGCATTTCCTTCATTTGTGGCGACTCAAATTATAATTGAACGAGTCTACTAGAGTGAGTAGTAACGGAGTTGAGATTTGTGGTAAAAAAAGAGGAAAGTGTTGTATATTCACATTACTCAAAAGAAGAGTACAAGCCCTCCCTTATATATAGGGTGAGAAAGCAATTAGGATTAATTACAATTAATGTAAACTATAATTAACCTAATCTCAAATATATACATCTAACATTCCCCCTTAAACTCAAGGTGACTGGAAAAAAGTCAATTGGAGTTTGGAAAAAAAAAATCCAAGAAGTGCCCCGGTGGACGTGTCTTGGCGAAAACATCGATAGCTTGTTCGGCCAATGAAGTGGAAACAAGTCGAATAGTTCCATGAAGAATGTGATATCGGATGAAATAATAGTCTATCTCAATGTGTTTGGTGCGTTTATAGAAAACATCATCATGTGCCATTTGGATAGAACTGCGATTGTCACAATGAAGGACTGTCCCGCTATGATGACACACTCCCATGTCTTCCTAGGGGTGTGCAACCGGACCGGATTTACCCGGAAACCGGACCGGCCCACCCGAAAAACAGGTCCGGGTACCGGTTCTTGTTAGAACTGGTTTGGGAACCGGTTCCATTTTTTTGGAACCGGTTAAAACCGGTCCGGTTTCCGGTTCCAAGTAAAAATCGACCCGGACCGGTTTTAGAACCGGTTTTAAGATAATGTAAAAAAAAAAAACCCTAAATGACGATCACGTTACCTTACCTCTCTTCTCTCTTTGCCGCTCCTCTGTCTCACTTCTCTCTTCGCCGCAAGAACGCAATTACGCAACTGAGGAGGCTCCTGGTTCGCTTCGCTCGTCCGGCTCTCACCAATCCGTGAGTCCTCCGTTCCCTCATTCTCTCTTCTTCGTCTTTGTTGCAAGGTCAAATGGT